TGGCCTGCTGTGTTCATCCAGCTCTACACCTTGTTATCTCTGCTGCTGCTTGTAGCTGCCCCAACCAGGAGAGCTGTTGTTATGGTATGCCACACTTATCTGTGTTGTGTCATTCTCACATACACGGTGACCAGTCTGTCACCCAAATACGCCCAGATCAAACTTTTTCTGCTGTCCTCTACTTTTCTCTCTCGAAGAGATCTTACTTTATTTCTAAGTGTATTTTCTTGCATTTTATTTTAGGACTACTTGGTCCAGCAAAAAGAGATGCTTGGCTTCAGCTAAGGGCTGAGGTTGAGGCTCTGACAGACTCCTGGCTGTCAAATGCACTTAAGTCATTGTCAATCATCAGCTCCAGGTAGGATTTACTGTTTAATAACTCATCAGGAATACTGTTTAAATCAGGACACTCTGACACAAAGGTTTATTTGAGTAAAACTGTCACTCATTCCTGAAACTTCCAGGATACAGTCACATCATTGCATTGTGTTCAGGGCAACATAATGATTTACACTGTCAATAACAGTTTTAGCCAATGAAATGAGTAACAGCATTCTCACAATTTCTTTTTGATAGAACCTCAAAATGTTCCAATAAATGCGTTGAGGTCATTAATTACTTGGACTAAGAGCAAAGAGGGAGACTAATGAGGGAAGCAATGGCCGAGTGATATTATTGCTCGACTGTTACTCCAGACACCCGGGTAATGTTCTGAGGTCCTGGGTTTAAATCCCACCAATGGCAGACAGTGGAATTTGAATTCAATTAAAAATCTGTATTGAAGAATCTAATGATAACCATGAAGCCATTGTCGATTGTTGGAAAAACCCATCTGATTCACTAATGTCCAGGAATCTGCCATCCTTACCTGGTCTAGCCAATAGGTGGATAAATCCCCTGGGCCTGATTGAGTCCATCCTCGGATGTTGTGGGAGGCTAGGGAAGAAATTGCAGAGGCCCTTGCAGAGATTTTTGCTTCGTCTTTAGCCACTGATGAAGTTCTGGAAATTGGAGGGTGGCTAATGTTGTTCTATTGCTTAAGAAAGGTAGCAAAGACAAGCCAGGGAACTACAGGCCAGTAAGCCTGACATCAGTGGTAGGCAAGTTATTGGAGACGATACTGAGGGACAGGATCAACCAATTTTTGGATAGTCGAGGTCTGATTAGGGATAGTCAGCATTGATTTGTGTGTGGGAAGTCATGTTTGACAAATCTTTTAGAGATTTTCGAAGAGATAACCAAGAGGATAGATGAGGTGGGGTAGGGCAGTGAATGTTGTCTATATGGACTTTAGTAAGGCCTTTAACAAGATTCTGCAGGCCAGGCTAGTCTTGAAAATTAGGTCGCATGGGATCCAGGGACAGCTAAATACTTAGATTCAAAACTGGCTCGATGGTAGAAAGCAGAGGGTGACATTTGAAGGTTACTTCTCAGACTGGAGGCCTGTAACTAGTGGTGTGCTACAGGGGTCAGTGCCGGGACCTTTGTTATTTGTTATTTACATAAATAATTTGGACATGAATGTGCAAAGCATGATTAGTAAGTTTGCAGATGATACATAGTTGATAGTGAGGAAGGTTATCAAAAATTACAGAGGGATCTTGATCAAATGGAGAGGTGGGTTGAGGATTGGCAAATGCAATTCAATACAGATAAGCGTGAGGTGGTGCACTTCGGAAAGTCAAGCCAGGTAGGACTTATATAGTAAATGGTAAGGTCCTGAGGAGTGTTGTGGAACAGAGGGACCTAGGAGTACAAGCACATAGTTCGTTGAAAGCGCATCACAGATAGACAGGGTGGTGAAGAAGGCATTTAGCATGCTGGTCTTCATCGGTCGAGGCATTGAGTATAGGAGTTGGGACATTACAGTTGTAGATGTCATTCATGAGGCCGCACTTGGAGTATTGCGTCCAGTTTTGGTCACCCTGTTATAGGAAAGACATATTTAAACTGGAAAGTGTGCAAGAAAGATTTACGAGGATGTTGCCAGGACTAGCAGGCCTGAGTTATAGGGAGAGATTGGCCAGGATAGGACGTTATGCAGGAGAATGTAGGAGATTGAGGGTTCACCTTATTGAGGTGTATAAAATCATGAGGGGCATAGATAGGATGAATACATATACTGTTTTTCCCAGGGATGGGGAACTGAAAACTAGAGGGCATAGATTTAAGGTGAGAGGGGAAAGATTTAAGAAGGACCTGAGAGGCAATTTCTTCACACACGGAATGGTGCATATATGGCATGGGCTGCCAGAGAAAGTGGTTGAGGCAGGTACAATAGCAACATTTATAAAAAACATTTGGCTAGGTACATGGATGGGAAAGGTTTAGAGGGATATGGACCAAATGCGGGCAATTGGAACTAACTGAATGGGCACCATGGTCAGCATGGACCAGTTTGAATCAAAGGGTCTGTTTCCATGCTGGATTACTGTATGATTCTATATGTAACTCTGGACCTACAGTAATGTGGTTGACTCTTAACTGCTCTCTGGCTGTTAGGGATGGGCAATAAATGCTGGCCTAGCCAGTGATGCCCTCATCCTGTGAATGAATATATTTTTAAAATTAGGCTTTTATACACATTTATTTTATTTTATATATTGTTAGTGTATTTTTCATTTTTATGTATATTTACATATAAATTTTTTTAATTTAATATTTTTTATTTTAAAAATTCCCTTATGATGGGATATTGGAGATGATGATTACTTAACTATAATGGAAGTTGATCAGGCGGGGAGGATTGCAAGCCATAATCAACTAATGTCAAGCATGGAAGATCACATGTCTATACTGACAGATGAAAAAGAATCCTAGAAAATAACATGCACGTAAGAAAGATGGTCCACATTTCCTTTCAGTTAATAGTCAGCCAAATATATAACCTCTGTTATGGGCATGCAGTTCTCCTGATTGTCCCTGGATAGATTTTCATCTTTAGTACTTGGATATAATTGTCTTTGAGAAGTTAGTGGTTTGCCACCATCTTCAATCACTTCAGTCAAGTAAAAGCGCGGTATTGTTAGGGAGAGAGTTCCAGCTTTTCGACCCAATGAAGGAATAGCAGTAAAGTTCCAAATTAGAAAATGTAATGTGACTTGCAGGAAATTTGCAGCTGGTGGTGCACCCATGCATCTGCTGACCACGTTCTTCACAGTGGTAGGATTTGTGGGTTCGGAAAGTGCTGTCAAAGGAGCCTTGGTGAGTTGCTGCATTCGTAGATGGTACACACTGGTGCAGTTCAGTGTAGTTATGCAACAAAACACAGCAGCTATTCTTCAAAATGAATGGCCTGTTCATTTGTTTCTTGAGAGTGTCATTGGCTGAGGAAGGAATGTGATGCAGACATTAGGAGCATACTCTGTTCTTCTTGGAGAATACCATAGGAGTTTTAAACTGTTTTTAAATATGTTTATGGGATATGAGTGCCGCTGAATGGGCAAGTCATTATTGTCCATCGCTAGTTGGCCTGGAGAAGGTGATGGTGAGCTGCCTTCTTGTACCATTACAGAGAAAACATACAGAACCTCTATTCAACATCGCATACTACAGACAGCACCTCTAATAATGCAGCATTCCTCCAGCATCTCACTGGAGTGTCAGTCCACATTCTAAGTTCAAAGCCATAATTTCCTGATTCAGAGTCACGTATGCTTCTAATTGGAAAACCAGCTGTGTTATGATTTTGGTATGATATTATTACATTTCTTTAATTTTATTGCATTAAGCCAACACAACCAAAAGTCCAGTTCTGACCAAAGTATTGCATTCATATACTAAGTGGTGAAATTTTAATGCAATAGCAAATTGATCACACGAAACTGAAATGATCCTGTTTCTCACTATGGATTTTCAATTAGTGAAAGACAAAACTGTTAGCATATACACCTTGGAAATATATTACTGATTTTCCAATCATAATGTATGTAATGGCCAGCTCCAGCATGAGGCATTCAAATTTGAAGCAATGTAATAGCTTGAAGCTCACTGACAGAGAGCAAATACTTAACAGAATTATGAATGCGATGGTGCAAGAGCTGCATCTTGCATGCGACCTTTTTTCTATGCTCATTTGTATTTAAGGACCAGTAGAAAAGGCCCCTTCTCAACATGTCTAAGATTAGGTTACAAATGCATCTTTCCAGTGTAACCTGCATCCCAAGAATAACTTTACTATGGTTCTACAAATAGTAAATTAAAATAATAGCAGATTTATCTGTTATTTTTGGTAGTCTTTGTTGAGGGAGAAATGTTTGCTTAGAAGCTGAGAAATCTGCCACTTTACCTCAAAGAGTACTGTAGATATTTTATATCCACTCAAACAGCTAAAGGCAGAATGCAGATATGATGTGCCAAAAGGCTACCTCCTGCACTGTAACAATGATGTGATTCTGAGCCTAACTATACAGTTTCAACTAAATAATGGTTCCTCCAACAATACAGCACTTCCTTAGAACTGCATTGAAGTGTAACGTTGTATTGTATGCTCAATTGAGGCTCTAACCTAAAAGTGACACGGCCAAGTGAATCAAGGTGACACTTAATATCGTCAACAATTAATAATCTTTCATATGACAAGGAAGATTACTCATTTTGTTTTGTCTCTTTGTTTGTTGCAGAAGTAACTGTGTTAATGTTTTGGTAACTACGACGCAACTTGTGCCAGCACTTGCCAAAGTCCTATTATATAGCTTAGGTGGTGTTTTCCCTATTGAAAATATATACAGTGCAACCAAAATAGGTAAGGATCAATTTGAATATCTTATAATATTATAATAATTGAACTATATTTGAGATTACAGCATGTAATAGAACATAACGGTATATTTTGGTTACCATGATGTGGAGGTGCTGGTATCGGACTGGGTTGGACAAGGTTAAAAAACACACGACACCAGGTTATAGTCCAACAGGTTTATTTGAACACACAAGCTTTTGGACCATTGCCCCTTTCTCAGGTGTAATGAGAGAGGAAGTATCAAGACACAGAATTTATAAGTAAAAGACCAAAAGATTATACAACTGATGCGAATGTACTTAATAACCCTAAACTGGCTGGCTGAGTCCTTCCTGTTAAATCCTTAATCAGATAGAAAGGGGATGCAGGTTTCGATTGATTAATATGCAACTGTCCGAATTTCTTCCAAGTAAATGTTCCAAGATAACTAAAGGCTTTATCAATGAATACAAGAGGTGACACCTCAGGTCAGACAATGCCTTTTGGTGTGAGGCCTTGTTTAGAAACTGTCTTTTTAACGTAAAGTCAGACTGGTTTTATTTCCAAAGCAGAAATTTAGAAAATGCCCCACTGACTGACTGTGTCCACAAATTGTGTACTTTTTGAACAAAGTAGTGTACCTGTAAATGAAAATCTGCAAATGCAAATTGTACATTTATGTGTGTGTGTGTGTGTGAGTGTGCGCGCGCGCGAGTGCGAGTGTGTGTGTGAGAGAGTGTGTGCGCACGTGGGAGAGTGTGTGTGTGTATGGGAGTGTATAGTGTAGTCAGGTCACCTGCAGTGCGACATGAACTCAAGATCCCGGTTGAGGCCATCCTTATGAGTGCTGAACTTGGCTATCAGCATCTGCTCAGCGACTCTGCATTGTTGTGTATCCTGAAGTCTACCTTGGAGGACATTTGCCCGAATATCCGAGGCTGAATCCCCTTGACCGCTGAAGTGTTCCCCCACTGGGAGGGAACATCTCTATCTGGCGATTGTTGCGCAGTGTCCATTCATCCATTGTTGTAGCATCTGCATGGTCTCGCCAATATATCATGCTTGGGGCATCCTTGCCTGCAGCCTATGAGATAGACAATGTTAGCTGAGTCACATGAATGCCTGTGGTGCATGTGGTGGGTGGTGTTCCCACGTGTGATGGTAGTGTCCATGTCGAAGATCTGACATGTCTTGCAGAGGTTGCCATGGCAGGGTTGTGTGGTATTGTGGTCGATGTTGTCCTGAAGGCTGGGTAGTTTGCTGCGAAGAATGGTCTGTTTAAGATTTGGAAGTTGTTTGGAGGTGAGAAGTGGAGGCATAGGGAAGATCATGGTGAGATGCTCATCGTCATTGATAATGTATTGAAGGCTGCAAGGAACATGGTGTAGTTTCTCTGCTCCTAGTAAGTACTAGATGATGAAGGGTATCCTATCGGTCGTGTCCCATGTTTGTCTTCCGAGGAGGTCATTACGGTTTATCACTGTGGCCTGTTGGAACTGATGATCGATGAGTTGAGCATCGTATCCCGCTCTTATGAGGGTGTCCTTCAATTCCTTCAGGTGTCCGGTTGCGTTCCATCTCATCTAAGCGGATCCTGTGTATACGTTAGGCTCGTCCATAGCGAATGGATATTTTAATATGGTTAGGGTGGAAGCTAGAGAAGTGCAGCATCGTGAGGTTATCCGTAGGCTTGTGGTAGAGTGAGGTATTGAGGTGTCTGTCCTTGATGGAGATGCGTGTGTCCAACAATGAGACTGATTGTAAAGAGTAGTCCATGGTAGTCTGATGGTGGGATGAAACTTGTTGATGTCACTCTGTAGTTGTTTCAGTGATTCCTCGCCCTGAGTCCAAAGGAAGAAAATGTTGTCAATGTATCTGGTCTATAGCGTTGATCGGCGGTCCTGTGCAACAAGGAAGTCTTGTTCAAGCTTGTGCATGAAGATGTTGGCATATTGGGGAACAAATGTGGTCCCCATGGTTGTTCTGTGTGTCTGGATGAAGAACTGGTTGTTGAAGGTGAAGACATTGTGGTTGAGGATGAAGCGGAAGAGTTGTAGGATGGCGCCTGGAAAGTGGCAGTTGGTCATATTGAGTACTGAGGCCATTGCAGCGATGCTGTCATTGTGGGGGATGCTGGTGTAGAGTACCAAAATGTCCCATTGTGATGAGGAATGTTCCTGATTCGACTGGCCTATGAGTGCTGAGTTTCTGTAAGAAATCTGTAGTGTTGCGACAGAAGCTGGGGGTTCCTTGTACAGTGGGTTTCAGGGTGACCTCGACATATCCAGAGAGGTTCTCACACACGGTCCCATTGCCTGATATGATGGGACGTCCAGGTGTGTTGGATTTGTGTATCTTTGGAAGGCAGTAGAAGCCCAAGACGTGGGAAGTACACGGGATGGAAGTGCATAGGGTACTCAGAAGAACCGAATCAAAAGTTCTGATCAGTCTGTTGAGTTAATGGGTGTGTTCCTTGGTCGGATCAGCAGGTAGTTGTCTGTAGTGTTCCAGGTTGTTCAGTTGTTGCTACATTTCTTCGCAGGAGTCCATACTATTCTGTACGGCGATGGCTCCTCCTTTGTCTGCCGGTTTGATGACAATGTTGCAATTGATCATGAGAGCATGGATGGTGTTATGTTGTGCCTGTGTGACGTTTTGCACTATTTTGTGAGTGCGGCTGATAAATCTGGCATTCACACATCTCCTGACGGCTCGAGCAGACAAGTCAAGCCTAGGGCAGTGGCCTTCTGGAGGGGTCCTATTTGACTCTTTCGTTGGTCGCTCCACCACGGATCTCTCTGTCGACTGCTCTGGTTCATTGGTTGTCTTATTGGGCTTGCTGCCGACATCGCGGAAGAATTCCCGGAGTCTTATTCATCTGATGCATTCCTCTGTGTCTGCCACGTGACCAATGGGGTCCATTTTGGTAGTGGGGCAGAAATTGAGCTCCTGGCTGAGAAGTTCGATTTAGTCCAGTTGAAGGGTGTGGTCAGATAAGTTGACGATGGACACTACGACCACGGATGAATGGACACTGCGCAACAATCGTCAGGTGTTCCCTCCCAGTGGGGGAACGCCTCAGCGGTCAAGGACATTGAGCCTCGGATCTTCGGGTAAACATCCTCCAAGGCAGAATTCGGGATACACAACAACACAGAGTTGCCGAACAGATACTGATAGCCACGTTCGATACCCATGAGGACGACCTCAACTAGGATCTTGAGTTCATGTCACACTACAGGTGACCCCACCACACTATATACTCACACACACACACACATTGTCTCTCTCACACACACACTCTCTCTCTCACACACACACACACACACACACACACACTCTCACTCACACACACACTCTCTCTCTCACACACACACACTCTCTCTCACACTCACATACACACTCTCGCACACACTCTCTCTCTCACACTCACACACACACACTGTCTCACACACTCTCTCACACACACTCTCTCTCTCTCACACACACTCTCTCTCACACACTCTCTCAAGCACACACTCTCCCACACACACACACACACGCACGCACGCACACACACATACACGCACACACACAAATCTATGGGGTGCCTTTGCATTGCCAGTGGGGTATTTTCTGATTTGTGATTTTTTTTTACCTTATTTTGGTTACCACAACTGACATTTATTTGGTTAGTATCTAGACATGAATGCCCTATCCATAAAGCAACTAATCATTTAGTAAAGAGTATTTAATGTTGCCTTTATTCTGAACGTGTGTCAAAATGGTTACATCAACTGTAAAAAAAACTGAAATAACTGCGGATGCAGTAAATCACAAATAAAAACAGAAGTTGCTGGAAAAGCTCAACAGATCTGGCAGCATCTGTGAAGAAAAAGTCAAGTCAACGTTTCAGGTCCAGTGACCCTTCCTCAAAACTCAGTTTTTTCTGATTTTTTTCTTCACAAATGCTGCCAGACCTGCTGAGCTTTTCCAGCAACTTCTGTTTTTGTTACATCAACTGTAAGTTGCTGTCTGTAAATTGATGAGCCCACTCGTCCAATGAAAGTTCAGAGGAGTTGGTGGTAGTGAACTCCATAAAATAGAGGAGTTGGAGGAGTATTATCGTCCTTAAGTAGAATAGTGAATACCCAGGACACTTTGGAGACATCATAGAAACCAGTAAGAGGGCAGTGTGGGACAAGCAGCAAATACACCATCGAACAATCATTTTTTGATTGCCGATGCCACCAATCCTTTGTCGACATTAATAGGCCCTCTTTATCCAAAAAACTTACTGCCGCCATGATGTTCACCACTATGCTGTCATAGTCTTTCGAAGCACGGACCCTCGAGTTCATTCAGGAATTCAGGCCACTCAGTGCTTGAGACACGGTGGCTAAAGAAATCCCCATGGTATTAATTGTTCAGTGAACACTGCAGAAGGAAGTGCGAGAAGCAGCACCAGGCTTACCTAATAATCAGGTGTTAACCTGGTGAAGCTGCAACGCAGGACTATTTGCATGCCAAACAGCAGAAGCAGCATGCAAAAGACAAAGGTATACAGGCAAGCAGTCCCACAACTGACAGATCAAATCTCGGCTCTGCTGTCCTGCCTCATCCAGTTACGAATGATGTTCACTCATTAAAATTCTAAGTGGAAGTGGAGGCTCCACTAATATCCCCAGCCTCAATGATGGGGGAGTCCAGCGCATAAGAAAGATGAAGCATTTACCCCCATCTTCAGCCAGAACTGCCAAATCAATAAATCCATTTTTACATCCTCTAGAAGTCTTGGGCATCACAGATGCTCGTCTTCAAACAATTTGATTTAATCCATCTGGTACTGAAAAATAGCTGGGGGCTCTGGATGCTGCAAAGGCAGTGAACCCTGAAAATATTCAAGCAATAGTATTGAAGAATTGTGTTCCAGAGCTAACAACATCCCTTGCCAACCTGTTTCAGCTACAGCAACTGACATCTACCCAGCAATGTGAAATATTTCCTAGGTATGTCCTGTACAAAAAACAAAGCACTAATCCAAACTGGCTAATCATCAAATGATCAACCTACTCCTGACCATCAGTGAAGTGCTGGAATGTGTCATCAGAAGTGCCATCAAAAAGTACTTACTCAACAATACTTATTCACTGACGCTCAGTTTGCGTTCTGCTTGGGGCAGTCAATTCTAGCCTCATTGTAGCTTTAGTCTAAACATAAACAAAAGAACTAAGCTCCAGAGTTAAGTTGATAGTGCCTACATTTGACTGAATGTGGTATGAAGGATGCCTGAGCAAAACTGGAATCAGGGGAAAACTAGTTGGAGTCATACTTGATACAAAGGAAGATAGTTGTTGTAAATCAGTCATCTCTGCTCCAAGACCTCTCTCCAGGAGTTTCTCAGGGTAGTGTCCTTGGCACAACCATCTTCAGCTGTTTCATCAACGATCCGCCGCCCTCCACCCCCCCATCAAAAGGTCAGAAGTGGTGACTAGGGGTTTCCATTGTCAAAAACCTATGCTGCATCAGCCATATAAATACTATGGCTACAAAACCAGTCAGATGCTAGGGATTCTGTAGCGAGTAATTCACCTCTTGATTCCTTAAAGCCTGTACACAAGGCACAAATAAAGATGGAATACACTCCAGTTACCCAGACATATGTACTCCAACAATTGCAGCAAGTTTGGCCGCTATTCAGGACAAAGCAGTCAGCTTATTTGGCACCCCATCCACCACCTCAAGTATTTACTCTTTGTATCACCAATGCACAGTGTATCCCATCTATAAAATGCATTGCAGCAATTCACTGAGGCTCCTTAGACAGCGTCTTCCAAACCCATAACCTCCGTCACCAGAAGGGACAAGGGGAGCATGTGCATGGGAATACCACCACTGGCATATTTCTCTCCAAACCACACACCAACCTGACTTGGAGCTATATTTCCATTCCTTTACTGTCACTGGGTTAAAATCCTCAAACTCCCTCCCTAACAGGACAGCAGTGGTTCAAGACAGCAGCTCACCACCATCTTGTCAAGAGAAACTAGGGATGGGCAATAACACTGGCCACATCCCATGAGAAGGTAACCTCAGTCCATATACGAATTGACCCCATACGGTTGGTATCACTTTGCATCAGAAACCAAATGTCCAGCCAACTGAACTAACCATAATACTATAACTGTGTGAGGAATTGATGTGTGATTGTTAAGTTGTTACTGCTGTGGAACTTACTGAGTTTGCAGGATCATTGCATATTTAGCATTAATACTACGAATTTTAAAAATGTTTTAAAAATGTAAAAGATTATTAAGATGATATTAAAAGAATTTCAGCTCTATGAAGCCTGCAAAGAGATATAAGTTGAGGGAAAAATTACACTTTGCTGCACCCATTTTATGGATAAGAAACATAACTCCACTGCAACAAAGTCCAATCTTGGAGATCAATGTTCTTTCCACAAAGTCTCCACAAGAAATTTATATATTGACCTCCAAAAAAAATGCTCAAAAAGTAAGCACAGAATTTAAAATAGTAATATTGTGGAAACCAAATTCAACAGTCAGAAATTCTTCCAATTCAGAAATATCAAGAGGTTACTACTGATAATCCATGAAAATGTTAACAAATAAAACTACGAATAATGTTTGGCAAAATTAGAGGGAGCGACATCTGTTATGAGAGTCACTACTTCTATTCAGAAAACACAGAGCCTTCACCACAACTTCCTGAGACCTACCATCATGTTTCTATTAGTGGCCCCAGCATGCTGTCGTACATTGGATGGTATAAAGTGAATTGAAGTGAAAATTAGCTGGTGTAAAATGGAGTGTTGATTCTCTCTTGCCCAAAATGCACTATCATCAAAAGCCGATTTCATCTCTGGTGTGTCAATATCAGGTGAAAACAGGAACCAACTGTCATGCATCCCTCTCCCAGCATCCACTGTCAATCCACAAAGGAGAATAACTATTTAGACAAAAAAAAACTCCAGTGACAGCATTTGTGACCCAGCATGTGTCAGTACCTTTGGGAAGAAGGAGAGAAAACAAATAGGAAAGTTTTGAACACTGAGAAGCCCAGCTTATGAAATTGCCAGCCTACACGCAGTTAACTATTGGGTAGAAGGTCCTTTACGGGGAAAAGATACGTCTTCAGACAGTCTGTGATCTGTTAGAGAAGTGACAAAATAGAGACAGGTGGCAGATTGAGGTACACCATTACTTTTGGTTTGAGGACGATGAAACCTTTAACAACCGTCTGATTCAAGTGAATAAAGGAATAGAGTAACCTATCATTCTCAATATTTTTGCCCAAAGGTAATATGAGCTTGTTCCCAAAAGGCAGATTTTAATGATATACGGTACAGTAAAACAGATTGAAAGGCTGAGCCATGCATTGTTTTTCAGGCAAAGAAAGCTGTTTTCAGCGTATAGTGTCCAAATTTGGCACTAAAGTTACTTATGTTGTCATTGGAGATGCCCGAGATGAAGAGCATGCCGCTACTCAGGTAAATTCACCCTGAACTCTTCCTCATTTATCTTCCAGGCAAAGAAAGTTGCTTTGAACGAATTATGCAAAGGTTTGGCAGAAAAGTAGTATATGTTGTTATTGGGGATGGTGTAGAAGAAGAACAGGCAGCAAAAAAGGTAACAAGTCTGCTAAATATTGTTGGTGCACCATTTAGATTTATTACTCTGGGCTTTGCTTTGTTTGAATTTATGTGATGTTGGAAAAGATTTTTCCAAGTGTGCATTAATGTATTAGCTTGTAGAGCATGATGAGACAGCATTCTGAACAAGTTGCTTTGTGAACTAGAATTAATGTAATGAACCTTATTAGATAATAGATTTTATCTTAATTTTAAGGTGGTGGTTAATTGCTTTCCTTTCTTGCATGGTTTTTAAGACATGGTGTGTGTCCCTTTATATGGCCTTTATGGATCAAAGCAGGTTTCTGCATGCTTTAAGTATCAATTGCGATGTGCTTTTTGTCAAGGATTATATAATTAGAAAATTTACTCAATGACTTTATAAAATGCTGAGATGCAACATCTAAAGTCACCTTTTGTATCAAAACATGTTATTTGAGCAAATAAAGACATTAGAATTTCTCAATATTTTAAAATGTGACATTAGTTCTGCTTTGTATTCTGCAACCCACAGGACCATGTATCAGAGAAAACCTTCTAAGGACTGAAACTTTAATGCAGATTAAAGTTGACCAATAATTTGAAGATTAATTGCTCAGTAATTACAGACCCATTTGCCAATCCATTCAGTACATGTGCGATTTAGATAGACTTGGATGTGTATTGTTATTAGCAGTTACTGATGGAAGGTTTGGATAGCATAATGATCTATGAGGTCTCGCTCATCTCATTTGAATTAGCAGTCATTACAATGAAGCATATTTACAAGTCTCCAGTGACAAAACATGTACCAAAATCTGGTCAATCTGTTTCACTACCAATTTTCAATTCATATCAATGTTCTAATGAAAACTTGGTGTACATACTAGACTTTGTTTCTCCTGTTACATAAGCACAATGGAACAAAATTACAGCAGCAAACACATGCTGTTCAAAAATGCCTGAGAAAAGTCCAACCCAAAATTAGGTTAAACCGTTCTACTGGTATCCTCTGCCACTGTACACTTCTGTTTAAAATCCTCTGGCAGTGTTTCTTTGCGGTGGTACAATTACGTATTGGACATGAGGGTATAAATATAAGGGTGACAGATATGGTGATCTATAAGTGACAATGGAGTATCCTCAGCCTTTGCAGTTGTTCCAAAGATTTAATGTTCTCATAGCTGGATCAGAGCAGGGACAACAGGGAGGATGGGCATGCTCACCATAGCACCACAGTGTAGTGGGCCATTGAAGTGCGGGGAGCAAAAAGGAATATATAGGTGTCAGTATAATTATGAGTGTAGACACAGTCCTCTACAAACAAGAACGTGAGTCCTGAAGACTGTGTTCCTTGCCCCGTGCCAGGATTAAGGACATCTCCCAAGGCTGAGAGGAACACCAAGCAGAAAGGAAAAGATCCAGTTGTCTTGGTCCATGTGGGTACCAATGATATTGATAAAACTAGACATGTGCACTGAAGTGGCAGTTCTTCTTAACCATGAAAGAGGGAGTTGAGTGAGTATAAGCATCTAGGAAACTAAATTAGAGAGCAGGCTATAATGGTGATAATGTCTGGAATACTACCTGACCAACGACCAACCTGCTGTAGGATAATAAGGTTCATAGATGGAAGACTAGGTTTAGATTCATGGGGTATTAGTGCCAGTGCGGAGGAAAGAGGGTGCTCTATCTTTGAACAGCCTTCACCTAACTAATGCTGAAACCAGTGTACTGGTAATTCATATCTGTAGTGCTGTGGAGAGCTTTGTAAATTAAATGGAATAAGGGTTTGTATTGAGGGAGATTTGAAAAATTAAAAGAAAAATGACAAGGAAATAGTGGAGGGTAGCTCTGCAATAATGGTAAGCAGAGTGCAACCAGAAGAGGCAAGGCAGGCAAACATAAGATACACCAGGAAATAAGATCAAAGTGGAAATAAATTGTAAAAGGCCAGAATTAAGGGCTCTTTATCTTAATGCATACAGCTTTTGTAACAAGATGGATGAATTGATAGCTCAAATGTGACAGCTATTATAGGGATATGATTGCAAAGTGACCACATGTGGGACATAAATATTCATTTCCATTGATTTATTTATTTATTATCATGTGTATTTGTTACAAGTATCAAGTGAAAAGTGTTGTATAATGTCTCCACTCTCCTGCAGCATCTTAAAACACAGAAAATAAACCAATATAAACAAGAAATAAGGAAATAAAGTTGAAAGTTCAGTTTTACATCCCTTCTTGGTAAGTGCTTAGCCATGGGCCTAGCTCCAGGCTCCTCCACCCCAATGCTGAGACTGTCACCATCACAAAACAGTCAGCCAGCCTCAAGTCCCTTCGCCACGCAGCCGCCGCCGTTGGAACAGAGTCTCCATTCTTCAGCGCCATCTCGCCTCCACCAATGCCGCTGCCACCATGAGTCTGCGCTGGGCTGACCAGATCAATGCAGCCACCGCCAATGCTGCCGAGTCCCAAACTGGGCTCAACCTCGACACTGGGCCCACCATGCCGAAGCAGCCGCCATCGATGATACCAGGTTCCATGCTAAATCCAAATTTGCCTCCCTCTGCTGCTGCTGGGTAAACAAACTCACCACCAATGCCACCATGAGTCTGCACTGGGAACCTTGCCACTACAGATGCCATCCTGCAACCAAGCTCTGAAATCTTTTCCCACAGACTGGAAATGTAAATGAAGATCCTTCCATAGTCAAAGGGCAATAATGTTCATATCCTGGTGAAAGGAGTGATTGTCAGATGTCTATTTGGAGTTTCCCATCTGCAAATCCTTCCCAGACGCTTCAGTCGAGCAGCACTGCACCATTATCCAAGGATATTTGACATTTCAGAAATACAGGAAGAGTGGAAAATGAAACTAAAGGGGATTTACTCCTTAGCTGTTCATGCTTCCTATATAGAGCCACTTTCGTAGGCTTACCAAAGATCGCCCATGAATGGACATTCTGGTAGTGAGAAATGAACTTGGCTCAGAGAATCAAAATGTAGAATCATTTTGGTTGGAGATAAGAAATACAAAAAGACATAATTCACTGTGGGAATGGTTTATAACCCCCTAACACTAGTTACACTGTGCAGTGGAGTATAAATCAATAAATAATGGGGGTGTAAGGAAAATACAGCAATAAACATGGGAAATTTTAATCGTCATGTAGATGGGACAAATCAAGTTGGCAAAGGTGGCCTAGAGAATGAGTTTGTAGAGTGTTTTGGGAGAGTTTCTTAAAGCAATATGTTCTGGAACCAGCAAGAGAACAGGCTATTTTGGATCTGGTAATGTGCAGTGAGGAAGAATTAGGTAATGACCTCGTAGTAAAAAATCTTTTAACTAAGAGTTATCATAACTTGACAGATTAACTACTTTAACATTTTGAGCTTTGTAAGGTAGCTAATAAAACAATTCTAAATTAGTAATGTGTCTTTATTATAAAGGATTTGTAACCACAAGATAGCCTTGTTTTACTTGAGAATTCAAGAATTTTCCATAATCCAGCAATGAGATCACAATTGAATAAATATTTAATTTGCATGTTTGCACTAGGCTAAAACTAGTGTCTCAAACATAAATATAGATAATTAAAAAGGCATGGAGGCATTGTTGAGCAAAGTGGAATTGCAAATTATGTTCAAGGTAATATGGTAATGAAGCAGTAGTACACATTGAAGGAGATATTTCATAATTCCCTTCAAAGATATATTCCACTGAGACAGAAAGATCCTATGAGAAGGATGAACCATCATGACTAATTAATGACATTAAACATGATATCAAGTTGAAAAAATGATGTACTGTGCTGGAAAGATTTGTGATAGACCAGAAGAATAGGATAATTAGAAATCAGCAAAATATGACTGAAAAAAAAGTAAGGGATAAATTGGAGTAAGAAAGAAAATGATCAAGATATATAAGAAAAACAGTAAAAGCTTATAGAAGTAAGTAACAAAGAGGAAGCAAAAATGAGCAATAGTTCTTTAGAGGGTGAGACTGGGGTATTAGCCATAAGAATCGAGGAAATGGCAGAAAGTTTGCACAAATATTTTGTATCTATCTTCACAGTAGAAGACAGAAAACATATCCATGGAAAAGTAGAAAAACAGAGGCTACAAGAAATAAAGAAACTGAAAACAATTATGGACACTGTAAATATATTTGAAAAATATAATGGAACTGAAGCCTGACAAATCCTGATGGCTTGAATTCTGTGCCCTTAATTAAAATGGTGCAGAGATAGTGGAAGCATTGGTTGTAATCTTCCAAAATTCTCTGAATTCCGGAAAGTCCCAGTGGGTTGGAAAGCTACAAATGTAACACCACTGTTCAAGAAAAGAGTGAGACAGAAAGCATAAAACCATGGCCCAGTGAGTGCAATAGTTGACATTGGGAAAATGCTAGAATCCATTATTAAGGAGATAGAAGCAGGGCTTTTAGAATATCATAACAAAATCAACAGGGTCAGCAAGGTTTGGTAAAAGAGGGGAATTAGTTAATGTGGTGTATTTGGATTTCCAAAAGGCATTCAAAAAGATGTCATAAAATGTTACTGCACAAAGTAAGAGCTCATGGTATTGGTGTTGGCATTTTAGCACAGATGGAGGTTTGGCTAACCTACAGGAAACAGAAACTCCAGAAAAATGAGTCACTTTCAGGTTTGTAAACTATAAAAAAAAAATGGAGTGGCACAAGAATCTTGCATTAGAAATAGTTAAGCAAATATTCACTTAGCTGATTCCTAAGATGAATGTTGTTTTCTGAGGAAAGGGTGAACAGTTTGGGCTTATGTCTTTTGGCCCTAGAATAGAAGCATGAGGGGTAAGCTTTGATTCTACATTTATAAATAAATGCAAGCAAATTTTAATCCTAATGCCTGCTTTGGATGGCTGGAATCTTAACATGCTTGGTTAATTTGTAAATAATTGAATAGATCAGGAAATTTACCCCATTTTGAGAGTCTGGAGCATTTGGAAAGGAAAAGAGCTTTTGGCTCATTTCTTA